TTATTTTTTTTTTTTTTTTTTTTTTTTTTGGGCTGTGAACGATTGATATAAACTCTTCTTCTTAAGCAACAAAATAGTTAAAAGGAAACCCATTTTGGTTGGTGTTTTCAATCATCTCATACTTCATTTCTTGTGCGTTTGAATCACCAACTCCATAGGATCTCAAGGCTGCTTCTTCCATGCTCATCTCCCATGGCAGCAGCTCATTCGAGTTGTCGCCTGGTACAAACTGGACGTGGTTCGACAGCAAGCAGTAGGACGACGGTGCAGCCGCCGCCGCCCCCGCCGCCGACTCAAATGGAAACTGTGAGGTGCTGTATGTTGTTGCTTCTATCATGTCCTGATCTGGCTTGCTCTTGTAAAACACCCTGCATAGAACCCAATCCTCCTGTACAGTGGATAAACAATGTCTTCATTCATTTTTATTTCTTGTAAGGTTGTTTTTAGCTAGGTTCGTGTTGACACTATCTAAATTACGATATGGTGGGAGATAATGAAATGATATCAATAACTCTAAATATGAACATAAGAGTTCGAAAAGAGGGTAAGAAATAGACCTTCGGAGGCATATGCGGTGTCTCAATACGAAACTCGTGCATGATCCATCCAGTTTTGATTCCATTCGGAGCTCGGTTTCTATAAAACACCAAAGTCTTTCTCATTCCAACCACCTCACCTCTAGTTGGATCCACCACCATTCGATCTTTCCCTGTCGCCTTCCAATATCCAGCTGTCGTTGCTCGATTCGTACGAAACCCAGTCGCATATTTCCGATCCCTAAAGCTGAAAAAGTACCACTCGTTCCCGTTCAGCTTGGCTACCTCTACATTCATAAAAGAAAGAAATTGAGTACTTATTAGTATATGTCAATATCAACTCACATACGAAAGATACTCAGTCCACCATGTTGCATGCACCGAAAAACACAAGTCGACTGCTGAGCCCACTCTAGTTCAGCCGCTCTAACCGAAGTACGAGCCCTCGAATTCAAGATGCTTCGAAGGATAAGATCTAGGAAGTTCGATCGAATACTAACTATCGGAATCTATAAATAATTCATAATTTTATATGAACAATCAATATAGAAACAGATTTAGGGAAGATTATCCTCACAAAAATCATTTGAATGTTGAAAAAAATGAGTTTTTTTTTCTTTGAATGAATCAGTTTTTTTGAGAAGAGAACAAAGCTTGTATTTGGACCATAGTTAGATATAATGCCCTTCTCGACATATATGGGAATACAATTCGCCCTCGACAAATACTAATTATTTCATTTCTTTATTAGTCCACCACAAAAATTTATTATTTTATTTATTTTTAAATTTTAATCAAATCATATATCCGACTCTAATTCTATCAATTTAGACCTCAACAATTTTGACAATAATAACCCTACTCGAAAAAGGTTGTCGGGTTGTCATCCACGGTCACAATCTTCTTTTTCTTCTTCAATCGAGAGCAAAAAACGTCATCCTATCCCCACCTTTTCTTCGAGTACGATTTAATGTAATTATCATCCCTAAGGGTATTTCCGTAATTATCCAACAAATTTTCTTTCTTTTTCGGAGGATTACACTTATTTTTTATTTAACTCTATTATTTTCTCTTCGTTAATTACTAACACAGATTTGACAATATATTTTTTTTAATTATTAAATTTTAAATATTTTTTATTTTTATTTTCAAAATGCTAAATATAATTTTTTTTCTTTAAAAGATCAAATATTTTAAATTATTTACGGACTTTCAATTAAAAATGAGAGATTTAAATTTAGGCCGAACATGTTAATGATGCAATAAAAAAAAATTGTTAAATATAAGCACAACTTAAATAGTTAAAGCATTAATAATAATAATTTTTTTTTATAGTCGAACGTTCGAGAATTCCCGTCTCTATAATTCTTTATATTCTATCAAAATCAATATAATTAAACGATAAAAATAAATGAGAAAACTAAGCAAATATGGCTTAAGAATTAAGCTCGTTAGATATCGTGTTGTGTGATTGATTGTGTCATCGATTATCCCGTGACACATAATGTGTACAATGGTTTTATTTCAGATAGTAACGTATAATCAGGTGGGGTCGTTCTTTTCACCTAACTCCATAATAATCAACTTAAGGTGGGAAATCCTCGTTTCGAGATTAGGGTTTTAGGAAAGCCGATCATTATACCAAAAACTTCTCCCTTACCACTCCGATTTTCACTCGGATACCCAATTACTATTATCAGCCTCATGATTTTACAACGCGTCTGTTAGGGAGAGGTTTCGACACGGTTAACAGAAGTGAGATCTCTCGTTTTTTCAAAAGTCGATGATTTAATCTCTCATACCTAAGAACGTTTTCGAACGAAAATTAACAAAATGTAAGAAAAACGAGACGAATTGTAAAGGTATACATACCAGGGAGTTGCCAAGGCTCACAAGTATGCAAGTCAATCTCCACCAAAGTGCCCCTCAAAGCTTCTTGATTAGCAATCTTTTTGTACAAATAATGGCAGACCAACTCCTCATCGCTAGGGTAAAACCTGAACCCAGGAGGCAGAGTGGCTCCAATATCTCTCAAACCCATGTTCTTAAACCTCTCAAACAAGGGGAAACACACAAGAATTTAAGCTAAATGTGATGGGAAAAGCATAGAATGAAGGGTTTTTTTGAGTTTCAAAGTGGTTTTGAATGAAGAGATTCAGAGAGCTTATTATTGCTTATATAGAGATGATGGAGGAACAAGACGAGTAGCTAAAAACCTTAAATTATGGAAGAGAGAGAGAGAGAGAAAGTGAGGTTAAATTCACAAGAGAAACGTTTACTTTAGGGATGAACAAACCTGTGGGACACAACATTTAGGGTTTTTTTTATTCAACAAATCATCTCCCACATTTACATTCAATTCGTAAAGACATATACTCTCGATCAACGGTACAAAACCAAATTGGGGTTATAAATACAAACCGAGCGGTAATATTGCAACAACCCAAGTTTCGATTTGGGGTTATGGACCCACCACGCTTCCACTACTATCACTGTAATAGCTCAAGGCTATCACTAATAGATATTGTCTGTTTTAGTCTGTTATAGTCTGTTATGTATTGATGTCAGCCTCACAGTTTTAAAACGCGTCTATATCGCATATTAGTTAGAGAGGGGAACGAAACATTCCTAATAAAGGTGTGGAAGGTTGTTACAAATGGTATTAGAGCGGTATCTATCTCATTAAGATGTGGTTCGGGGACAAACCATGGCAGAAACTGGTGGACATATGACACTTAAGTAATGAGCTAATACCACATCTGAACAAGAGTGATAGAAATAAAATGAATAAATATCTAGATATTTTAGGAATAAAGATACTTTAATATTTTAGGAACACAAATATCCTATAGATATTTTATGAACAAAAGAAATTTAGATATTTTATGAATAAATTTAGTCTGCACGGTCTCGACTCTATTATAAATACTCTTCGACCTCAAATTTTTTAGTCTCAAGCAAAAAAGTGTAGTAATATTCAACCGAGTTTTCCACGAAATTGTGTTCAACAAACGTTTTATTTATTAAAGAAAAAAACGTTTCATCTTTTGGCCATATTACCAAATATGAGCATATTGTCACCTTCGTTTAAACGTGACTATATCACAGTCGGTTATTTTAAGATGTCACCATCTTTCATTTATTCACGAGTATTTGCATTTATGAACTTTTTTCCGGTAGAGTTTTAGATTATATATATTATAATGTAAAAGATAAAAAAAACATTCTTTTAAATATCTTAACAAATTTAGTGATTTCTGCTTAGGCCAACAAATAAGTGAGTTTGGTTGGACCAATGGTACGATGTATGATTAACATATATTATATGGTTTATCTCCGTGTTAGGTCATAAAAAAATATGGAAGTATGATGTGTGTCATAATCATGTATCATGATTTAAAATACATGGTATCATGCATGTTGTATGTTATGAGCATGAGTTACTTCTCCAGTATGTTTTGTACGAACGCATACATCATGATATGATATGAGCTCTTTTATTTTCGTTGGTGTCCAACAATGTGAGCGTACGCTAGCCCATTTTTAGACCTAGAGAGTACGTATACAAGCTCGCCTAATGGGTTCATGCACACGTGCGTGGATTGTGTATAGAGAAATACTATGCATCCAACACTACTCGGAAAAAAAAAAAAGGTAGAACCTAAGATAAACCCACTGAAAAGTACTGTGGACTATGCATCCAACGCTATCTGATCGAGTCTATTAAAATGTACTCCCGAGAATACCCAAAACTTACGATAAATTTTTATTTGTTCTAATTCTTCGTTTCTAATCATGATATCGAGAAAATATATATTTGATTTCTACTATAAAGTCGATTGAAAAGAGCTTGAAAACTTTGTTCATGATTTAATAAGAACCTTAGGTTATGCAATAATCTTTGATATAAGAATTTGTTCGTGATTTAATAGAAACATTTTTTTGTTTTGTTGCATTGACACGTAATAGTTTTGAATAAAGTCGAATATTTTGATTTGATAATTTTACCTGCTTTTGACACTACATTGTGCCGACATGAGATGCTACCCACGAGCTGGTCAGAGACAGGTTATTCTTTCAAATAAAATATTACTTCAATTCAAAATAAACCATGAACTTCAACCAAAAATTGTATGACATAGTCCCAGTGATCTGATTAGCAAATGTCTCGTCACATGACATATATTCTTGTAATTGTTTGAAAAATACTGAACTCTACAAATATGTCATTTCTTTTTATGTGGCTAAATGAACAAATTAATGCATGATTTGTTGTACCAATTATTTGGTGGTGCATAAGCGGGAGTCTCGAGAGAATTATGACCTAGATAGCCGAGTCGAGCCTTACCTATCACATTACTTATGAAATGTGACACCTGAGTAAAAGAAAGGTACATAAATGAATTAAGATCATATCTAAATGAAAGCGATCCTACAGATAGGACCTCTTAGTAATTTTCTTGAAATGCATGTGAGTGAGGACAAAACATGCAGGAAGGATTAGTTTTCACTTTTAAGAAGTGAGGAGTAGGTATCGTGACCATATCGTAGAGAATGTCGGGGCATCATGGATCGAATGCGGATTCGAAACCCTAATCCAAATCGTGGGTATCGATCATTTTACGAAATTAGATAGCATTTTTGTTATAAATCTAAAATCATAAAGTTACTATTAGTGTAACGTAACTAAATTTTCCAAACATCTTATCAACTTCATCAAGTCATTTCACCTTGAAATGACACATTATCCGTTACAAAACCGTTTAATATTATCAATTAAAAAATGAGTAAGAACTCGAAGGAATTTTATATTTAATATATTACTTTTTTAGTATATATTAAACTTATTCATTTTCATATAAATTATATAAACGATGATAAAATAGGTGAAAATGATCGTGTTGGTTTGAGAGAATCGTCTTCACTCTTCGAAGTAATTCAAGATAAATAGATAATATGATCTCGTGTCTTGTTTTTTTTTGTTTTTTTTTATTGTTATTTCTGTTTATTTATTCTAATTTTTCTAAAACATAAATAAGTGCATTATTTTATTATTTTCTTACTTAAAAAAAAATAAACATAATAAATATCTAAAAGTAAATATAATATAAATTTTAAAAATATTTTAATTTAAAAACTATTTTTCTGGTAAAAAGTTGATTATTACCAATCATATTTATGTTTAATTTTTAATTAAAAAAAACAACGACCAAATTTAGTTCCATTTTTTCTCCGTAAAAAGAAGAAATGTGAAGTAAGAAATAACAGACAATAAACAATTACCAAATTCAGTTCAATAAAGGGGAAATAAAAACCCGAAAATGATAGAATATCGAAACGTAAACGTTATGATATCATATAAATCCAAAAACGCGTCATTCTTTATATACAACTTTAATATCGATCATATTTGTACTACTATAATAACTCAAACTCACTTCTATCAAATATTGTCCGTTTTAACTCATTACGTACCGCTATCAACCTCACGGTTTTAAAACATGTCTGCTAGATGATAGAAGTTTCTACACTCTTATAAAGAATGATTCGTTTCCCGCTCCAACCGATGTGGGATCTCACAACTACTAATCGATCTTCTTTTTCTCTTTGGTACGAGGTTAATTATGTTAGATCTCACATCTGTTGAGGGAAAAGAACCAAACATTGTTTATAAGGGTGTGGAAACCTCTTTCTAACAGACAGTTTTAAAACACGTCGGCTAGGTAGAGGTTTTCACATCCTTGTAAAGAATAGTTCGTTTCTCTCTCCAACTGATATGGGATCTCACAACTACTAACCAATCTTTGTTTTCTCTTTAGTACAAGGTTAATTATGGGAGATCCCACGTCGGTTGGAAAGGAGAACCGAACATTCTTTACAAAAGTGTAAAAACTATTTCCTAATAAACCGTTTTAAAACATGTCTGCTAGATAAAAGTTTCCACACCCTTATAAAAAACGCTTCGTTCCTTTCTCCAACCGATCTGGATTTCACAACAACTAACTAGTCTTCTTTTTCTGTTTGGTACGAGGTTAATTATGTGAAATTCCAGGAGAACGAAACATTGTTTATAAGGGTATGGACAATATTTGCTAGCGGTGGGCTTGAGCGGTTACAAATTAATTGGTTTATGTCTAATGTAGATTCTTTCATATTTATTCGTGAATACGAGAACGATCGAACCTTATGCTCTAATTTCAACGAGTGACTTACTACGTTAATTGAATTTAAGATGATAAAGAACATTGATTAGAGGTAGAAATAGTTGATTATATCCATAGATATGAACAAGGTTATTCCAAAGGGTGTGGAACATGATGTCCAAGTAACAGGACATTTTGTCGAATGGATTGAATAATTAGGAACCAATCAGCGGTTTTCTTTGGTAATAATAATTGGATTCCTTACTTGTCAGAAACTTATGATCCTACTCACCATCTACGTATTTGCAAATTAATAATTTGTTGTTCTAATCATTATTTTCTGTTTTGTTCATTGACGAGAAGAGTTCATATTCTTAGCTCTTGGCCCCTTCTTGTTGCTATTCTCCATCAAACATTTCATATTAACAATTATTTGTTATGTATATATATGTAACACATCCATGTATGTAGCGTATAATTTTGTAATTCCATTATGGGGAATTGGAAAATGATGTCTACAATCATTATCCTCCTCGTGTCCATCTATGTCGTGTTTATAATACATCTCGTTAAGATTTTAGCTTAATATTACAGTAATTCTATGGTGGGTCATCTCTTCGAGTTTTCCTGGGATGCATGCGTAATAATCCAAGCTCACCCCTAGCTGATATTCTCCACTTTGGCCTGTTACGTATTGTTGTTAGTCTTACGGTTTTAAAACGCGTCTACTATGGAGAGGGTCTAACCCTACTCCGATCAGTGTCTTGTGTTGTTACAAATGGTAGTCCACTTTGGTTTGTTAGGTATCGTTGTTAGCCTCACAGTTTTAAAATGAGACTACTATAGAGAGGGTCTAACCCTATTTCGATCAGTGCCTTACACCGTTCGATGACTAGCTCTAATACCATTTGTAACAAAACAAGCCCATTGCTAGTAGATATTGTCAACTTTGGTATTTATGTATTGTTGTTAGTCTCACGGTTTTAAAACGAGTCTACTATGGAGAGGTTCTAACCCT